TTTTGCATGTCTCAATAGTATTTATGTTTATAGAAAACTCAATTGAAGTCGGCTTTTTATAAAGATATCTTATAAAGTAAATGATCTTTTATGGAAATATTTGTTGGAAGGTTTATTGGTTAACATTTTATGACTAAATTCTTAAATAATGCATTAAAATTTACCGTAAAATATTATGTAATCAATAAATGTAATAAACATTAAATAGAGATATCATTATTTATAGCTAATTTATTCGCACAGAAGTTAAATAGTTTTTTTGGACGATTTATGTTGAAACTAAAAGCAGATGCTATATGTGAAATTTTATTTAGTTTTTAATATTTTATTAAAGCTGGTACCAATTAAATTACGTTTTGAAATAATATTTTCATTTTGTAATTTTCTATCTTTTCGCTGACTTTCGTCTGTTCCTGAGAATTAGTAGTTCCACAGTGATAGTAATTTATGTACTTACATTGTTAAAACGATTACGTTGCATAACACTATTGCATATTATTGTCATGTACCATAGACACCAAGACGATGACGACGATGTAATAAGTCTATAAGTCGCCGTCAGCACAATTAAATAAATATAAATCGTTTTTAACATATATTGTACAAAGAGTCAACGACATCAAGGTCAACTATCGTGGTAATTGATCAGGGTACGACATCGATATAAAATTTGTACTAAACAAAAATTAAATTTTATTTTATACTTGTTCGCTTATGAGATTAAACATTTGTTTCCGCAACGCTACGTGAAAATTAAAAAGAACCAAAGTCTTTTTTGTTTAAAGAATAATTAATTTATCTTGTCCGAATTTTAAAGTCTACAAATTGATTATTACTTCTCTGAATATTGTGGTCAAGAAGTCTCCCAATGCGCTTCTTAACCAAAAAATTAAGAAGGGAAGTTCTTAGTACTCTAAGAGATGATTTGTACCTTACAAATAAAATAAAGATATCTATAATTGTTCAATGAATCTTAAGATAAAAATATTTTTGTATCAATGAATTGATTTGACACTTCGCTGGTTGTTGTTCCGTCCGATTGGTGTTTTCCGGGAGACTAAATCTTTAATATTGAAATGTGTTCGCCTGCGTATGAATGAGACAAGATATTCAGGTGGCTGAAGGCAGGGACGTTCACCCTCCGGCAGGGTCTTCGACCGGCCGAGTTCCAGCAGCTGATCGCCACGCGCCGGGCCCCGACCCCGCATGACTAACAAATAGCTGACGTCTGACGCCGCCACCCCGTTATTTACTTAATACATGCGTGATTTATGCGTGTCAACGCGATTGCGATGCCTCCTGTTACACTATGCTATTTTAAGTCTTCATTAATATTGAATGATTTTTTTCCTTAAGCGGTGAAGTTAGTCTACAAACAATTTAACATTGATACAAGTATAATTTCTAGTCAGTTATTACCTATATGTATCAAATTATAGATGTTATTGAATAGTGTTTTTAGAATAATTCGATAAACTAAAGTTTTAGATTTTAAATATTTCTTATAGAATAATACATCTAAAATTCATATAATGTTGACTGATCAAGCATACAATTAGAGAAATGATTTTAACTGATTATTTTTTGATTTTAGTGCGTTTAAAAAAAACTAATTGTTTTGCTGGACGTTGCTTGCTCGCTTCTACTCGTCGCTAGATGGCGCTTTTTTCAAAGTGAACTGTCAAAGGACTCAAATGTTAATTTATTTATAATTGATTTTAAAGTATGTATTCAGTAACAAACATGGTTTATTTTGTAATGTTATGTATTTTTATATATAGTCTCAAAAAATAGCTTTATAAAAAATATTATTTGACTTTCATTAGACAGATGACACTTTTGACACATCTATTATTTTATATTTTGTAATTTGTAAATAATCAATATAAATTAATGTGAAAGAAATTGTTTTTTTTTTACATTTCATATTTAATTTTATCAACCATGGAGAATAATGAAGAACGAGAACAACATGACCATAGCATCCATGCCGTGCCTCGCAGGGTGGAGGTCATCTACCGGAGAAAAACTAGAGAGAGGAAAATATTTATGGATGAATTGAAAGAAGTGAGGAAACGTAGACACAAGCGCTTTATTAAGAGAATTATTGCTGCCATCGGTCCCAATTGGTATTACGAGCTCAGCGAACCACAGAGGAGTAATTTAGACACTCTCGAATTTTGTATTTACCAAGATGTATTAGCGGGCAGGCCCGTAAAGACCGAGCGGGTCATTCGCCAGCTGGGCTTGCATCCCCGGCCCACTACTGATGACATTATGCATTGCGTCATCGCCGGACGAAAAGATCCTAAGCAAATGCTCTCAAATTTATTTGGTCTGATGTTCGGTCACACCATCGACGGGAAGCGTGCCGTCTACAACATGAACGGAAAGCTGTTAATGTCGTCTATACTTTACTTAGGTACGCCTCATTTATTAAAATCTTTACAAATTATGTTTCATAGTGAACCTGAGGAAATAAAGGAGATCAAGCGGGAACCTAAACCCAAGCCCATCTTAAAGTCCCCGTACTTACAAGAACTGGTGGCGTGTCAGTATAAACCACCGAAGCGCAAACCGCAACGTCCGCCACCTTTGCCACACTTGGACACTCTCAACGAACCCTTTGAAGTGGAGCCCGTGATCCGCAAGCCCCCGCCCCTGCCGCCTCCGCCGCCGCCGCCCAAGAAGCGGTTGCCACGCTCATACTGCGACAAAATCGCTGGCATCTTGTCCCTCGAGCCGCGCTGGTCCATTGATAATTTGTCAATGAAACCTTTGGCACGAAGTTTTCACCGCAGGAAACCATCAAAAATTAGCATTTTGGAAGACAAAAAGAAGCCCTACGGCATTTCCGCAACTCTAAAGAAAAAGGTTCGTCGTAAAAAACCAGTGGCACCTTCGACGGGCTTGAAAAATTCACAATATTTAATAAAAGGTGTCAATATTGTTC